GCGGGGCGCCCGAGCCGTGTCCGCCCCGCCGGGGTGAGCGGAGCGGCCCGGAGCTCAGGGCCGCCTGTGACAGCCCTCCAACGTCACCCGCAGCCTGGCGAGACGGAGCGCTCGGGCGGTGTAAACCCGAGCCGTGTCAGTTGTTGTTAGCGGGGGCAATAACTTAAGAAAATTCATTAAAGAACACCTTTGGGTAACATTACTGCTAATTATTTAATTGCAAGAATCCCTATGGGGGAAATTATGTTAATTATAAAGTAATAAAACCACTTGTTCTAAAGCACTTAATTCAGCAAAATTTAGTCTTTTCACAAGAACGTTCTTTATGTTGTTTGATGGAAGAAACAACAGGGTAGCCGTGTGCTCATCCTGCCTGTGCTCAGAGCCCAAGGGAGCTGTCGCTGGCACTGTTTGTGCTGGCAGGCTGCATGCAGGGCTCCCGGCTCCTCACTGAAGCAATGAGCACCGTGGCCATCGAAATCAGGGCAAAATTCTCTGTGCAAGAGCACTTTTATAACAGAGATATTGCAGATCAGTGCAAACGTTGTTTGCCAATCTTCATTGTGCACAATCAACGTGAAAGCTATTCTGTTACCTGTCAGGTACCTTGTAGCTGAGCCCAGCTTTGGGAGATGGCCTTTTCCAACCCAGCTCTCTCCACGTGGAGCACTCTGCCCTATGGAGATTTTTCAGCAGCATACTTCTAGACATGCCCAAGAGCCACCCAGGTGACTCCTTTGATTCCCCTTACAATCCAGGAGATTGAATGGCATTCCTATTAACAAAGACAAGTTTTACTGTGCTCACCAGCTCTTCAGGAGGACACACTCTGGCTCTGTGTTCTTCTGCCACCATTCAACCTCCCTGTCTGTCACTGAGCAACTGTACTCTGCGTGTCAAAGCTGCCAAAATATCTTTCTGTGATTTGTAAATATTGGCATAAACCATCTGTTAACAGGTTCTTGAACCTGGCTTTGCAGAGGGTACCTTTAGTTTGGAGTGTGCAATTTGCCAATATTTAATCACAGGAAATCAGCTTCAACAGCCTGATTTCCATTCTGCTCATACACCATGTCTCCGAGAAGCGTAAGTGATGCTGTACATGGTCACTGCAGATTTTTCTTTCCTTTCTCTAAACCTCTGTCATCTCTCTCCCTGCATACAAGTGTATCATCCCACCCCCACAATGTACACTGCTTTCACCCAGGCATCCTAGCGAGGACTGTGTGACTATAAACACGAACAACACCAGAAAATGATCTCTCTTGATTCACAAACTTTTGTTCTTGAAAAGGAGGACCGTGAGGCTTAAGTGTAAACATTTCTGCAAGCAGTTCTTCTTGAAGCGAGGCAGGAGTTCAAATGCAGCCAACAATGCGATTTTTGATGCTTTTAAAATCAGCATCATTTGGTTTAGCTCTGACATTGCTTTGCTTAGGAGGTAATTGCAAAGGGTGAAAGTAACAGTATATGCTTAGTAGCGATGCAAATGCAGCTGCCAATAACTGCAAATGAAATAATAGATTAATTGAAATAAGCAGAGTAAGAAGAAAGCAGCTTCAAAACCATGTAGCAGAAATGTGGCTGAGAAGAAAGTGTCTTTATATTTTAGAATACAGGGGGATTTTTTTGGCTGTTGCTTTTTTGTACTGAGAAAATGAAAATTCTTCAAGTCCATGCATGAATAAACAAGTACAGCTGGGCAGCCTAATAAATAATTTATACTGATCAGTCACTGCAGATTTAACTGAATAAAGCCAAAATGAACACTAATTGTTTTGACAAACTAAAATAGTATATATGATGGCTTATTGTGAAGCTTGCTGGTTACTGTCCTTATCTTAGTGGCTATTGTCAAAACTGATTTCTGCATGAGAGGCAGAAAAAGATGAAACATATTAGGACAATATTAAGATTAATATCTTGTTGAAGATAAAGCTTTTTAACTGCTTAACATGCAAGCAGAAAATAGAAAGATTGTCTTCAGGACAGCAGGGAGGGCTGGCACAGTGAGGTGAGGGCCAAACACTGAGGTGGATGGCTAAATGAGAACCATTTAAAATATCGTTTCGAAATTAGATAAGAGACAGAGGAGGGTAGTAATAATATTTTCAGGGATCCCTAAGCACCACTCCACGGGCTCCTTCGTGTGACAGTGAGCTTCTTCTTCCTATCAGTCCTCTGTGATGGCCTCACCTTGCCACCTCACCCTCCCACCTCTTCTCCAAGGACTGGCAGCTCCACTTGACTCCCACCATCACTTTAATAATGACTGATGTGTTTGCTGAATCTCAGATCATCACTGTGTTTGCTGTGATTAAGTTTTTAGGATATGGCTGCAAAGCTGACAGTTGGGCTTGAGTGTTACTGGAGTTGAAGGATGGCTGGACCCAGGGCTTTAATCTGGACCATTTTGTGCCAAGAAGCAGCCAAGTGGGTGGAAGCTGGAAATTAATCTTCCTCGTGCCCTGGAGTGGTCTTTTCCCTTGGATCTGGGGCCATTACTAACTTATGATCATTGTGACTTGTGAACACATACTTGACTAAGGAGGAAATAATTCTTTTGTCAGAGTTCTTTGCATCAGAGTAGGGCCAGCACTTCTGTACTAGCTATCCTCAGGTTATTGTAGATTATTCTATAAAGTATGAGTTCATCTGGTGAAGATACACCTACATAAAACTCATGAGAACTTCACCTCTGAGAACTTATTTGTGCTTTGCTTCGATGTGGGTTAACTTATGATAGGAGACTCAGGGCAGTGTCACACCTTTCATTTAGGCTGATCCCCCAGTGGATTCACTTTCCAGTGAAATCAATAGAATAATTTTTAATTTGTGTGTGTGTGTATGTATAACAAGGCTGTTGCTGGTCTGACACATCTTGAGCAGGGTTCACCAGTAACCACCAAGTTGTGTCTGTGCTTTCATGGCCTTTGCATCAGCTCATGCACAGTTGGGGTGAAGGAATTATTTGGCTGCCAAGCTGAAGGTTTTTAATTTAATATCAACTTAGGTATAGTTTGTCATTTTTGTTCTGTGGCAGTGAATGACAGTTTTATTCCAGTACTTAGTCTGCTTGCTATAATTTCCAGGATTTATTTTTAAATTAGTGTGCTAGTTACATGCAACCATGCCTTCTCTTCCAAGAAATTGGTGTTCTTCACCAACTTCTGTGCACTATTAAACATGAATATCAGAGCTGCTTTCTTACTTACTTTCTTTTGTAATTTACAAAACCTCAGTTGTGTTTGTTGTACATTAGAAACACAGAGAGTTTATAACTTATTCCAAAACCAGATAATACTTAACACAAGACAATTAGTCCCACCCCATCAAAACAGGTGTCCTTGAGCCTCTTCATTAGTTAACATTTGAGTAAAGAAGGGGCTCAGCTGGACTCCACCTCCAAATCCTGTCTGAATTAACTCCATTTTGCATTTGTAGAAACGGGTGCAGAACAGGACCCTCTTGGTAGTTCACTGAGGACTCTTCTGCTGGTCTCCTTCAGGTAATTCGGGTTTTTCTTTGGTCTTTCCTTTCACCAGTGTTTCAGGCTGTGCTGAGGGCTGGGGGGAGCACTGGGGAGGAGTGGCTGTGCCGATGGGCTATCTGCATCCCACTACTCTGGGGAAGCTGGGACCACTTGCAGTTTCACACACAAGCAGCACTAATCTA